AAAAATTCTCAATAATTTCAGAAACAATTTTTAACTTCCTCAGCAAGTTTATGTACTTTTAAGTATGACAACCTATATGAATGCGCTTTTACTCAAATGATTAGGAATTAAAAGTATATTGAGCCATTTTCACCATAATACAGTTTAACGCAAAATTCTGCATAATTGCAGCAATCATTTTTAACTTCCTTATTAGTTTTATACACTTCTAACGTTATGGATTTGTAAAATAATTTTAATTTTTATAAGTTTCAATCAACAAAAGCATAGAAACTGATTTCGATCTACTTCGCGCCCTCGAATGCTTGACAGATGAACTATCTAAGTTACTTTAAGGGGTACAGTAAAATTATTGCGCAATATTTTTTTAAGATTCATATTGTAAATCCAAAGTATTCGAAAGAAATTGCTCACAACGAGCCTTTGAGCCACTTTCAGCTAGAAGTGCAGAAAAACACACTAAACAGAGTTTAAACATAATCCTAAGCCCACAATGAACACATTACACACATATTTTCTTAGCTTTTACACAGCAAACTCGTAAACTTACTCAAATGGTTTGCCTTCACCGCATATAATTGTTCCTAAATAAATATTGAGCCACCTTGAGCCACTTGGAGCCATGAGACGATAAGATATTCACGTGTGAAAATGGAACACATTAAAAATTGCAATTGTACCGGTTTCAGAAAAAATGCGTCAAATAATGGTGCTGCAATGTGAATTATGTACAGTTATGCGGTAAGTATAAAAGCAAATGCATTGACAAAATGAGTAAGTACGACAATGTCATACTATTTAACTTATGCACACAGAAAAATGGGTAATATTAAAATTATGGTATTAACTTTGTAAATAGTTGTAACCTTTCGGCGAGCAGAACAGAAAATTTTAACTGGACACTTTGAAAATTATTAATGCATAAGTATAATTGAAATATATGAAAAATAATAATAATACAATTAAAAAATGTTTTTCCGAAATAATCTGAAATTATGGAAACCATATCTTTTTGGCTATCAAAAAGTTTCAAGTTAAAGCGCTCATCAAATTTTTTGCACATTTTGAGGCATTTAAAGCCTCTCTGTATAATCTTAGATTTTTCAATAAATACAACAGTAAAGAGGTTTTGAAATTACGTTTTAATGGACTTCAACTCAGACTGAGCTCATGATTTACTTCTTAAGCTCTTTAAAGGAAATATTTTTAATATTTACCTACTGAAATGGTGAAGTTATAAAATTCTGCTAATTAATGAGTACAATTTGGAAATTTTCTCACTGCATTTCTGATGCTCCAACTACATTTTGACCCATTTTGAGCCAATTTTAACGGTATAATTTAGAAAATAATTTCTTGACATATTTCTACAATTATTCTACAATTAGATATTTTTCAAGCAAAAGTCTTCATAGCTGTCAAATGTAGCTCATAAAAAAATAATCAACTACCTGAGATTTTATTTTGAGCCAATTTGAGCCAGACGGTCTCAAGTTTCAGTTTCTACCTAAGCGCTTAATATTAAAATAAGCTGAAAATATATTGAATTCTCAAAACCAAATTAGTACTTTTACCCAATTTTGCACTATATTGAGCCATTTTGAGCCACTTTCAGACATATCCTTTTTAATGCTGTTTTAATTCTTCTGAATTTCGCACAGTATTTAACCACTAGCGAATAGTGTTAAAAACTGTAAATAAATACACATACAAGTACGTAAAAATTTCAGTGTTGCATAGAACATGAGCATAATACGGGTACCACCACAACATAGGCATGCCTAGTAGACCACTCGGCCAGCCACTTTGGGGCCACTTATGACGCAAATAAACCAAATGAAAGTGAGTAAATGAAAAGTGTAATGGAAGGACAGGTATTCAGGTAATTCATATAATGACACAAAAACGCAGCATACCAGACAGAAAGGGAGCGCGCGAGAGAAAGGGAGAACGAGAGAAGGAAGCTTAAAGAATGTGAACATAGAGTGGAAAAAAAGAATAACTTAACTTACGAGTGCCAAGTGCACCTACAAGTATACACACATACACATTTGTAGTTGCACATTCGCCACAGGACGAGTGAGCTTGTACCACTGTATGTTAGCGAATGTGTACACCTGATGTTTACATAAAAAACACGAGTCGTATGAAAGTGCTTACTGAATAGTTAATTAATAGGATAATACAATTAATTTGTGGGCAATGAATGTCTGCGTTTATTTCATCGTATATGGTCATGAAGAGGCACGTGTTTGAATTCGAATGGTGTGGCAAAAAAGTTTGAGTAGAAAAGTAGGGAACGTTTGAAACGAGACGATTTGAGCTAACTTGAGCAACACGAATTTGTTCTTCAAATTAATTTTAATTATCCTTTTTTGGCCTAATAGAAAATAGAAAAGGATTAGCTAACAAATTGCGCAGTTTTGGGAGGCTAAGAGCGCTATCGAAGCACAATGAGCCACTTTGAGCCATTTTGAGCAAAAATCTAATTTTCTTCCTAAGCAGCTTTGAAATTTATTATTAAAAATACATTGCAAACACATATACTTTTATAAATTCGATATTTTATATGCAAGGTGGGTATGAAAACGTCTTGAAATTTAAATATTTTTTAAAAATATAAACGTTTATATTGCTTTTATTTATTTAGAACAAATTTAGGATTTCAATTGCTGCCATTTTTTTAAATTTTAAAATTATGTGCGAGTTCTATTAAAAAATTAAATAAATTATGATGAAATAAAAAAAAAGTTCTCATAATTTTCGAAGTAAATAAAACTTTCAGAGTATATTCCGAATTTCGATGTGTTTTCAAAACAACTATCAAATATGAGCTTAGGTTCGCTGGCATAACTTTAATATGGCCGTGAGTATGTTGTCGGAGTTAAATTTCATTATTTTCGCCTACACTTTTAATACTATTATTTATTAGATATCGAAAGAAATATTTCTTACTTAATTGGATATTATACTATTTTATAATAAAGCTACCACAAAAGTTCGGAAATATTTTCGGAGTTGATAGAAAATGTTTAATTGCTAACAAAGATTTCGGTACTAACTTACGCCGAATTTTCGATGCTGCTAACATTTCGGAGTAAAATCCGAACCCCGTAGACTCGAATACACCTACCTAAAATTTAACTCTCGTTCTTTTAAATAGCTATATTCTTTGAATATGCGTTCGGAGTTAAATTTTATTCTCGTTGATAGTTTAAATACTATATTAACATAACAATTCCTTTATTTGATATTCTTTAGATATCGAAAGAGTATTTCCTATATAATTGGAAGGCATATCATACAGGAAAATTCGGAAATATTTTCGGAGTTGTATGTTGATCGGCAGTTAAATGATATATTGTTCGAATATGATCCGCAGGGGCTTATAATTTTTTGTAAGGTTTTCGGAATTTTCAATATGTGTTTATAGAACTCTCAAGCAAGAAGCAGGTTATAAAAATATTCACTACTCATATTTCGGGTTTTCGATTTAAGGCAACATATGTATGTTTATATACATTTTAGGAGTTGTATAAAATTGTTGAATTCGTCGAGCTTGCCTATTTCAGTTCTTTACTTTCCATCCCTTAAAGCATATTCTAGTTTAAGTGGCTACCTTTCTACATTTTTTTCTTCGGTCATCATTTTTTATTTAACTTTCATGGAACTTTGCTATGGCGTGAATGGAGCGCATCTCACTTTAGACGAGATCCGATCTCTTCGCTTTGTTTACTGCTAGCTGCTTTTTGCTACCTCTTTTGTTGCTATCGGGCTTTCTGCTGCTGCTTTATAGCGTAAAAAGTCATCACTTTCTTGACTTTTTTATAAGCTTTTATTATACTTATGGCTTATGAAAGGCAACCAAGCTGTTTAGGATAAATTTCAGCTTGCACAAAGACAAGGCGTTTATGTGGAAAATTGCTGAATTGCTCAAAGTTCTTTTTGTAGGCTAAGTAATGGGACAAGAGAGATGATATGGTAACTCGGGTTACTCATAAACAAATTGTATTGAAAAAAAATATTAATTTAAAGCAATTAATGCTTTTATGAAACCTTTTTTAAAAAAGCTCTTATCAAATTATTAAATCTTGAAAGGTTGATAGTCACTTCTGAAAATATTTAGCACGCCGTGAAATGGGGATATCATTTCATGGCTTTCATTTCTTATATATGTATGTTTATATTATTAAAAGCTTTGTAATGTTCTCAAATTATTGTACAGGGGTTAACTAACCTTTTAACCTTCGCTGCACTCTAATATAAAAATGAACCGTAGCACACATTTAACTTTAAAAAAAAGCTTTAAAACTCATCTTTACGCTAATTAACTTTCTATACTTACTAAATAAAACACGTTTAAACATTAAAAAAGTATTTTCTATACATAAAATATGTCATTAAAATATATGAAAGTTTGAGTTGAAAGCTCTAAGCTAATTATGTCCGCGGTACGGCGCAATTAAGCTTTCTGGGAGTTTTCTTCAAAAGCATAAGCAGAGAAACATACAGTTATTATTTATATATGCTAGTTAAATAAGCTTACATATAAAGCTCTGACAAAAGCTAGACAGCTAAGCTTCTATGTAGCTTTCATATGTTGGTTGACAAAAGCAAAGCATTGAGTATAGAGGCAGAAATCATAAAACCAAAAAAGAAATACATATTAAGTATTTTCTTAGGGAATATAAAAATTAACATTCAAACTCAAAATATGAGATTTGCGAGCAAAAAGAATAGTATGAAGCTAAACATTTAATTACGTTGATGAAAGCAGATGAAAGCTTTTGAAGCTCACAAGCTAAATATTACGTATCGGTAAATATTATAATATAAAAGGCTTAGAAATATTAATTAAAGCTAAAAGCGCTCTCTTTCGCTTACTCTCATCTGAGATGATCTGAGATCATGAGATTAAAGCAAGAACGAGCTCAAGACGCTACTAAATACTAAATATTATTTTTGTTTTCGTTCATGAAAGCACACGAAATTCTACTAACCTTAATGCTGTCATAGCAAGCGGTCACCTTTCCATTCTGTACCTCGACATTGGCGGGCGGATGAGCGAATTTGCATTCGGTATCTTGGCGGGAGCATTTATTCCTCTGAAATTCACGGCACACCTCCAATTGGAGCCAACGTGAATCTTTGCCATTCAACAGGCTATTCACATGGACGACAGCTGCCATTTTGTTATTATACTTGTTGTTGTTATGAGAGTGTTCACTTAGTGTTACTTGAATTGGTATTTATTGGTAAAATTAATTGGTTTTTTATCAATTTCACAGTTGTTTGGTTACGGTCTCAAACACGGATAGGAGAGTTTGTGATTCTATCTTTTTTTTTCGTTTTATTTCCACCAGCACTTTACATGTGCTTATACTTGCTAGATGTACAAGGAGCTTTTGAGTTTTACGCGAAGTAGGCTTCGAGGATTTTTTTTATTATTTTACCATAAAGTCTCCTCTCTATTGGTTGTTATCAATACAAATACTTTGTAGCTTTCGTTGCGGCACTGTTGTGCTTTTACCACTTTCACACGAGAGCTGTTACTAATCTTCAACCGATTTTGTTGATTCTTTGCTGTTTTCGTTGTTGATTTGTTACTTAATTTTTTGTTTGTTTTATTTTACAACAAAATATTTTTCGCCGTCTCTTGTCAGTTATATAAGTTGGTTTTGAAAATTTACGTTTTTGAAAAGTTGTATATTTGAGTTTTACGAAATATGCGAAATATGTTTGACGTTTACGGCGTCGTTAACTGAATGTAGGCGACACTTTTTAGCGCACGTTTGTCCGAATCGCGGTTAGTTGTTATGGCAACGCGGATTAGTCGATGACTAGAAGTTCATAAATTTTTGTTGCTTTGAGTGCCTTCGGCGCAAATATGGTAGTATATTACAGTAAGCTTTTTTCGGTACTTTTCGTGTTATTTTTGGAGCTTTTTTTGATAGCTCGCTGACAAAATCGTAAACTACGTTAAACAATATCGCAACAGTGGTATTCGTTAGGTTTGTAACTATTTTATTTGTATTTATTTACTGCAGCAGCTTTTTGAGGCGCACAACAATAAATTATCGAAACCAATTTAAAAATTTGCACACGTTTTATAGTAGCAGGAGCTTTGGTATTAAATTTAAATTCACTTTTTCGCTTTAATTTTCTCTCTTTCCATATAAATATATATAGTTAGCGTTTTGTATATAAATGTATGGGTAAAAGCCTGGGTAAGAGGGAAAGCGGGTGATAAATTGGTTTCAAAGCTCAAAATGATGCGCTTTCTTTTAAGCTGTTTTGTAAGCTCCTTTGTAGTTGCACACTGTTGCTCCGTTAATTACCTTTTCACTTTCTCACGCTTAATGCTTTTGATCGGAGTGCTTTCACGCAAAATTTACAAGCTTTCACAAGTTTAAAAATAGTTTTGCTGGCACTAACTTAGTGAAAATATGTCTATATTGGTTATTTTGCGGGTAGCTTGGAGAGGGAGTATTTTTTGCGGGTATAATTATAGAGTAGTAGATAGCACTTTTAAGATTTGTATTGGTTTGAATGAGTGGAGTTTGTGTTTATTTATTTAGCTATCGAGTTTAGTTATTTCTCTTGCTTATATTTAATATGCAAATGTTTGTGAGTGATATAAAGCAAGTTTGAGCATACACACGCTGCTTTTACAATATCTGAAATGAAATAAAAGAATAGAGATATAAAATTACACACGTGATCGGTAGCCATACAAAATTAGCAATTAAATACAACTAAATGTCATAGGGAAGACAGATATTTACATACATAAATCTATACTCGCTAACTATATACCTCACTAAATGTCTTCTTATAAATATAGTGATAGTTTCGGAGTGAAGTTAAACTTTCGGAGTTTTCGGGATAAAAATTTTACTTTCGGAGTTTTAGGAGTAAATTTTTTTAATGAAATTTTAACGCTCACTTCAAGCAAAACTTGTAAGAGCAGTTAATAGTAGATTTCGAAGTCAACTTCAAAAATATCTGCGTCACACATTTGTATATGTAAGCACAATTTAGGAGTTTTTATTGAAGATTTTAGTGCAACTTTTCGGGGGTTTTGTCGAAAAGTTTACACCATGGTTTTGCATTTTTTTTTTTGTGATATAAATATATTCTATGATATATACAAATTACACGCGGTAGATTAAATCTACAATTTTTGTAAGACCTGTTTGCTGAACAAGTTGCCTGAATATTTAAGCAAAGTTGAGCTTATTTAATTTTATTTAATTGTTTAGTATTTATACACATTAAAAAAACTGAGCAAAGCACTTTAGAAGCTTTTTAGAAAGCTCAACAAAACTTGTAAACTGTTTTTATTTAATTTTTGTTTAATTTTTTTATTTGGAAACATTTAAAAAAAAAACTACGCAAAGCTCACAAAAGCTTTTGATTAAGCTCGATAAAGTTTTCGAAGTTGTTTTATTTCGAAATACTTCAATTTCAAAATAATTGAGGAAAGCTTTTTAAACGCTTTTGATATAAGCTTAGTAGAGCCCTAAAAAATCTTTTTTTTTTTTAATTTTGAACCATTTCTATATTTCTTCTTTGAAAGTCATGGTAAAAGCTGTTCAAAAGCTTTCAGTAAGAGCTCAATAAAACCCTACAATAGCTTTTTTTATTTTGTAGCATTATTATTTAGAAAGTAAATTTTTATAAAATGTTAAATGTTCTGGCTGTTTTTTTTATAGTGTACGCTGAAGAGCTTTCTTAGCACTTTTAGCTAATAAGAATTTATTTTATAAGTTTTTGCGTATATAAGTAATAAGCTTCGTATATATTTCTTAAAATCTAATTATGCTAGACCTATTTAAAACTAAGATATGTATGCATTTTATCCATCACAGCACAAGCACCAACAAATACAAAGAAAGCACACAAAGATACGAGTACTAAAAATATTTAGATTTTATTCACTAATACAGATAGTTGTTTGCGATATGTCGCCAGCAATAGCCCGCTTGCCGAAAGCAGTGTACAGGTTGTTTTTTTTTTTTTTTTACAATACATGGCAACCCATTCCATTTGCTAAATGATCTACATTGATAGCATTATGAAGCATTTCTAGAAGCACATTTCTCTCCACACAAACGAAATCTATGTGAAAAATCAAAAATTTACGCATACATATGCACGCATTTTTTAGCAATTGAAAGCAAATATTTGTTTTTGTTTTTCATTTGGGTAAGGATTTAGATCCTGCTTGTATGTTTTTGTTGGGATGTAGGCGAGGGTTGAAAGTAAATTGTTGCAAAAATGACTTACCACAGAAGTTTGCTTGACATTTGCTGACAAGTTGCTGAGGTCAGTGCGAAAACTCGGAAACATTTTCACACACGCTCATACATACACGCATATGCATGAATTTTTTAGACTGAAAATCGACAAATACATACAAAAAGTTTATAAAAATTTCTGGTAAAACTAAACATAAAATGGACAATTAAAGTAGATGATATGTAAAATTTGCTATGGTAAAATATTTTTTTTCTTATAAATGCTTAAGTAATTATTAAAATATATATATATTTCTTTCTGTAACAATAAACAATATTTGTCTTAAGTTAAAATGTATCCAATATTGCAAACACAAAAAAAAAAAAAACAATATTTTTATTATTTAATTTAATTCAAATTTTTATTATTTCAATATTTTGTTGTTTAATATTATATTTTGGTAAATTAAAAAAAAAAACTTAAAAACCAAGTTTATTTATAAAAATTAATTTTATTAAAAAATTAGATTTTTTTTTTACTAATATTCAAGTTTAAATTTTTGTAGTTTCTCATTTTCTTTAATTTTTAAAAATATTATTCCAAAAATGTTTACTTATTATATTTATACACGCATAACACCTTTTTCAAGCACAATTGGCCACATTTTGCACTTCTCATCAACAATTTATCTCTGATTTCGCAAAACTGAGCCGTAGGTGCTGGCAGCCAGTGCTTTTTTTTTGAGATATTATATTTGTATACTATATCTAAATTGACTAAATAAATAAATATCTATCATTCATATTAAATGCCCACAATCGATCACTAAACGGGGCTAAACTGAATTCCTTATCTAGAGAATATGCACACCCCGACATAAACATATACATATATCTACAATATAACAGCACACAATGCGCAATCAGCGAACTTAACGATTTGCGGAGTTAAAAAAATCGAACTTTATAGACACTGTTCTGCACATTTTTACAAACATTTGGTACACACAATATATGTAACGTTATCTTATCTTTTGTAAATGATAACGCCAAGCCAAGTTATGGACACATACATTTATATGCATGTATGTTTCAAATTGTTTCGAACAATATTTGTTTCGTCTTTTTTTTTTATATGATTCATGTATGATAACTGATACGCAAAATAAAATAAAAAATTAAAAAACAAAAATAAAAATACTTGAGTTTAAATAATATTTTTCTGTATCAAAAATTTAAACTCTCACAATAAATTAAATTTTGGTTAAAAATATATAAATCTTTTGAATTTTGCATAGTATAAAAAAAAAAATTTTAAAATTTTTAAGAAAATATAAAATTTTTTTTCAAGATTAATCAAAAATTTATCACAATTAACAAAAATTAACTGTTTAATAATAAATATGTTTAATTAAAAAAAATCATGAATAAATTAATTTTATTTGAATTTTATTAAGAAATTTGACAAAATAGAAATTGAAAAAAAATTTAAGTTTAAGCAGAGGTTACATAAAAAAAAATCATAAATTTAATTAGAATTTCGTAAAAACTTTTAAAACTAAATTTTAACGCATTTCGACAATTTAACAAGTTAGATAACTGTTCATAACTTTACTTAAAAAATATTTTTGAAGTTATAACTTTTAAAGAAAATGCAACTGAAAAATTTGCTTTTTTCAGCTTGAAAGTGGAATATTAAATTTACTGAGAAATATGAAAGTATTAAAGATAATTAAGAAATATTCTGTTTATTACATAATATAAATATATTAAAATAAAATTCATTTTTTTTTTGATTTTCGAGAAAATTAAAATGAAATCGTTCACAAAATAATAATTTCAAATATGAAAAAAAATGTAAGACATTCAAAAATTTTATTTTATTCAAAGTTTAAAAATTTAAACTTTTTATCTTAGCAATTTATTGAAGATAATGATTATATTAAACAAAGAAATTAACCAAAAATTGTATTTAAAAATATAAGAAATTTAATCATAAAATTAAAAAAAAACACTATTTTAAATTATTTCATTTATTTTAGCAAGTCAGAAATTTAGAGCTGAAATATATGCTTCAGCTAAAACAATAAAACAAAATTATGATATTTTTAAACAGATACGAGTACAAACATGCGGGTGGGAGAAAAACAAAAACAAACAATAATCCAGAAATGTCATAAATTTTGCCGTCAACGCGAAAACTGCAGCTGTTCGCTCATAAACTATGAGACGTTGAAAGCGTTTAATAGCGTTTAAAAAAAAAACTAATAATAAATAGTTGATTTTAAAATATATTATTGAATTTTAAAAATTTGAAAATGATATCGGAAAAATTAATTGACGCAAATCAGAAATTTGTCAATAGAATAACGAATAGTATTTTCATAAAAGAAAATTGGATTTATAAAATTCCTAAATATTTCAACCATCTCAACTCGAATTGCTTCACTGTGCCGTTCGACATTGATTGCCTCATTTATTTTGCCACTGTTGTTGTTACTGTTGCCATTAAAAATGATTTTTAATGTTTTTGTGCTGTTGTTTCCTTCCCAATAATATTGCATTAAAACTCGAACTAACAAAGTGACTGATATCATTTACTAGCTGGCAGCGGGTGTGTGGGTGTACGAAAATTACTATTTGTTCAGAGAAATGACAAAAAGTAATCAACAAGTCAATGGGGCTGCATAAAGAAGAAGAATAAGATAAAACGTTAAGTAGAAAAGAACACATACTCATACATACATATCGAAGCAGTAAAAGTTAGCGGAGGTGGAAGCGGCTGCTAATAGTCAGATGTCAGCAAATGAAGGAAGACACAGCAACATATTTCAGCTGTTGAGCTAACGTCATACACACACACACATGCATACAAAAAAATATCGCGCTGATGAATGGCTTTTGCTGTTGGAATGACTGCGTGCGAGTGCGATGAAATGACGACATAACGGTGTCTGGGTTTTGAGATTTTTGTCATAAATAATTGACAACTGCTCGAAACGTGATACCAAGCTTGTATCAGTGTCGCTAAGCACACACAATTAATTTTTTGTTCTTTTTTTTGTGTACTAATATTCAATTTCAATAATTATTTTTAGTTTTCCTTTTTTATTTTTATTGATATTTGTGTTTTTAATTTTTTATTTATTTAAAATTTTTTATTATTATTATTATCTCACTATATTATATTATTTATTTTTATGTATTGTGTTTGTGTTATTGTAACACATTTTCAATATTTTTAAACTATTTTATAACGCCTTATATTTTTATGATATTATATAATAAAGCTAGTCTGAACACTTAATTAGTTCCTAAAATTACATATACTTGTTTTTTTCCTGAATATCTTATTAGTAAAATTGCATTGACTTACTTTTATAAATAAAACCATAAAAAGCTTTCAATAATTAGTATTATTTCTTTTAATTATTCTT